GCCAACGTGCTGGCATTTTTAATAGAAGTACAACATTTTTAATAGGACAAGTACAGCATTTTAATAGAATTGCGTACACTGTCATTCCTGTTGCTCAATCCACGCAGGAATTAACCAAGCTCAACAATATCTCTAAAACAAATCAGGTAATATAACACTTGTTGCTCTCCTGACGAATTTTACAACACACGAACAAATAGTTACTTGTCTTTTAATTGTGATATATTTTTGAAGGCAAGAATCCCGAACCCGTAGCTTAATCTTTGGCAGTCGCTTCTGCTGATCGAGAGTTCGAGCAGCCCGAGATGCATCCTTCAACGAATAGCTCGCGCTTGCAGCCTGTACCGGAATCGTTGTACATTACAAAAAGCTGAGAAGCAGAAAATAAAGCGCCAAAGGGCAAATGAACACAGATAAGTATAAACTATGTGAATACGTTAAAAGAGCAAAACAACTTTTCGAGCGAAAAGTAATCGACGAGAAGAGATCACTGTGGGGCATGCCATTTCTAGAGCTCGAGACATGATAGCCGGGACTCCTAGCCGCATGCCTGCGGGCCGCGTCCCAGCGAGTCGCGGGCCGCGTGTTTGAGACCACTGTTCTAAATGATAGGAAATGCAACAAAAAAAAAAATTACCCAGAGTACAATTGGTCGGCTACCAGCTGTGATTTCCCTACACCCCCCCCCCCCCCCTTTCCCTTGTTTTTCTGAAAGCAACCCCTTAATTCGCAACGACTCCTCTACTCTCAATCCCACCCCCCAAATTGAATTCCCGGGAAAACCCCTGGCTACTAGGTCGCACATAAAATTTGCTTGGTCCTGCTAAACATTAGAGAATGCAGCACCGTTGCTTTTCATTATTTAGTCTGTTTTATATAGACAAAGGAGCTGAATCGAGTCTTAAATTCTGCAGTTGACTGGTAGACATTTGCTGTCGCAAAATGGGTGCATCTGTTACAACATCGGTGCAGACTGCAATATGATCATTTTTTGCCTAGCGTGTTAGAACCATTGTTGTTCGTTTGCATCGGTCAAGAAACAACAAGGAGGCACTGTTTGCACTCATATTTTATTCAACATCCCAACCGTTTTGCAAGGAGCTCGCTCACTAAACAGAACAAGAAAAATATCTAAAGTTAAACAACAAAGCCCGGCTAAAAACGTGGCGGGAGTCAGGTGCAAAGCGAGACTGGCAACCGTGCAAGGACACGCTCGCACGGTGGAGGCGTGGAGGCACAAAAAAGGTTGCCAAACTCTCAATGTTGCGTAGTGTACGCACTTGCATTTCTTACATGCGGGCAAGAAAGCTATCCAGCTCGCCCTTGTCCTGGAAACAATATTTCAAGTGAGATGCATGCCGAAGTGGCATGCACGGCTCAGAACATCGCCACCGGGATACTGTGCAGCCGGTCAAGCGCACACACGCTGAATAAAGCAGTCCCAGTGCCAAGTAGAACCGAAACTTCTTACGCATGAGACACAGCAACCCGTGACTCCGCCAGCACAACACCGTCAGACACTAAACAGACCGAAACCACGAAACCAGTGCATGGAACAGCCACAACTGCGGCAACTGCAATGACGAAGGACGTCTAAGTAATAGTCACTATTTTGACGTTTCACGAAAATGACCGTCATAGACAAAAATAATATTAAAGATGTGTGTATTAAAGGTATGTGTATTAGAGCACTGCACGGGCCGGAATTTCTAGGCCCGGCCCGACCCGGCCCGGTAGACACACGGCCCGGGCCCGGCCCGAGCCCGACAGAATTTTTAATTTCTAGGCCCGGCCCGACCCGGCCCGGAAGAGACACGGCCCGGGCCCGGCCCGAGCCCGACAGAATTTCAATTTCTAGGCCCCGCCCGACCGCCCCGATGGCTGTAGCCCGAAACAACCCAGTCCCGTTTGAACCCGTCCCGTTTCCACCCGTTCCCGAAACGAGCTCCCCATTTGAACCCCGTCCTGTTTCGACCCATTCTTTAAACGCCCTTCCCATATGAACTCGTCCCGTTTCGACCAGTCCCCTAAACGCCCTTCTCGTTTGAATTTGTCCTGTTTCGACCCATTCCCTAAACGCCCTTCTTATTTGAACCAGTTTCCGAAATACCCTTTGCGTTTAAACGCGTCCCGTTTCAACCTACTTTTATAAGGCCCTGCACATCGCAACCTCTTCGCAAAAAGTCTCCATCGTTCTAAGCCTGGTCTGCGCACCTTTTCTGTTTAAGAATATGTTCTTAAGTAGCTTTACATGTCAACGCGTTCTTAAAATATACAACCCTTTCAGGCAAGATTAAGTTGAATATATTCCTACTTAACCCCTTAAAACGTTTTTTTTCAAGATGGTTCCCAAAACGTGCAAGCGCGGAACGGACTATGTACACTGCGCGATACTGATACCGCGAACACGACGTTGGCTCTTTTTTCGAATTTTACATCGAAATGGTGTTAGTAGGCACCAAAGTATATCGCTTAGGTCTTTGGCCCAGATGAGTACTTCTAGAAACACTAATAGTTTTGAACAGAGCGTTTTGATTCTATGAGATAAACATAAAAACACGACGATTGCTTGTTCCTGCTAATATAGTGTCGCGCTCTGTGCAATAAGGGAGTCTTGGAATAACGTACTCAAGCACTTTGGGCAAGCTAAAATTAGCATCGCCATAGGTTTTACATCGCAACGCTATTTTTACGGTACCCAAAGCGCTTGCGTACGTTTTTCTAAATCTTCCTAATAGTGAACTAGAAATTTTTGAGAGCGATGAATCAGACAGGTTGACAAGCATATGACTGGGACTTTATTTTGTTTACAATTTATAACAATGAACCCTCGCTCACACGGAAAAAGCTTGAAGGCCTTCTAGCTTCAAGACGTCGTTTAGTTATTATTTTTAACGACGCTGTAGTGAATTTGCACTTCGCTTTTTTTGTATTCAATGAACCTAAAAGATTAATGAGCAAACTTCTTGCTATCAGCAACAATTTATGATTTACGGCACAAGATTGCCCAGGCACGGCCCGGGCCGGCCCGGGCCGGCGCGGCCCGAGAACTTTTTTGTTCAAGCCCGAGCCCGGCCCGGGCCCGAGAAAATACGTGCTACCCGGCCCGAGCCCGGCCCGCGGGCCGGGCCGGGCTCGGGCTGGCCCGGGCCCGTACAGTGCTCTAATGTGTATTAAAGATATCTTGACGGTGGACGTCGAAATAGTCACTGCCTTTGTTACACATGCGCACTGACACGTGCCAGTTGAGGCAAGAATGGTTAAACGCTCTAGGAGATGCTCATATTTAATAGGGCCCGTTCACACACTTGCGTTTGACTCCGATCGACCTAGACAAGACCGGTTTTTATAGGGATACTTCAACGAAATTTGAAATATTCCCGTCGTGTTCAAAAATAGGTTGAATATGATCCACAATATCCGTAAATGACAATCGCACGTTTGTATTTTGATCATGGTGGCTGTATTTTTCGTTATAAACGGCCCACTCTGGCAAGCGCTCGGAGAAGGCCCAGCTTAGAGCACGTGACATACAACGCAATCGTGACGTAGGTCGTCTCAAGACGAGCAAAGCTACGGCGAGGCTGACGTCGAGAGGATGGCCTAGTCGTTCCAGCCACCGAAGCGGCTGCTTTTGTACGAATTTCGAGTGACGGGTTAATCTTCTATAATCTTCTAGGGGGACAATAGCGACTTCTGCGACACACAAAAGGGATTCTCGGGAAGAGGGAAGTTCCTCCTTCCCCCCTTCTCTCGTCATGGCCAGAGACGAGACAACCTCCGTCACTATCTGTCAAGGTTCCTAGACGAGCATTACAACCGAGGCGTTAGCGACATCCACCAGGTGCTCTTTGCTAATCGTTTAATTCGTTTTAATTCCTTTTCGAGACTTTTTTAACAAGATATTGGTATGTTCCATGTGATACTGCTCTTTTGAACACATATAGACCAAAAAATGAGCGCCGAAATTTCGTTGTAGTATCCCTTTAAAGGGGCCCTGCAATCATATTTAAGCGTCCACCTTTTTCGCGGTTTCCACGTCTCTTGGGGTTCGGGCAAGCCAGCAGGCACGGAGAGAGTAACTAAATATCGGTGCGTCATATTTTAACCGGACGACGCGGAAACCTCCTCCACCGACGAGGGCGACCCACGGTACCGAAAGCGCGCAAAATATGACGTCTTTGGTCCTGGGCTCACTACTGGTCAGAGCCGCTAAAAGCTTCTTTTTAGTCGAAATACAAAAAATAAGTGGCGCGAACCGTTTCAATTACTTATAAAAGTAGTTTTTGTTCAGTATTTTAGATCAAAAAAGAAACGAATGCAGTTCATAAAGTACGGAAACAAGAAATGACCCGTCGACATACCCGCCACCAAGCGGTGGAAAAGGCGGCGCATACTAGAAAGGAGTACTGGGATCAGGCGCCGACACGGAAAGGTCCCGGATGTACGCGGCGACGCTGCGGTCGTTTGGGCAGAAGGATCCGACCGGCTCCGAGCGTTCCGAAGGCCTTCGGCGAGAAGCTTTGTCTTGCGTTTTGGCCGTTTCGCGGTATGGCAGTACAAAGTAGCTCCCATTCTGAACTGATCTTTACCCCGTGTTTGCTGTCGTTTGTGGCCAATGAAGTGTCATGCCGAATAAGCCTTTAATCGCGCAGCAAACGCAATGAGAGCTGCTCTGGCTGCCCGCTGGATATATCCTATCCAGAACACGCTTCAATGGCGCCCTCTCGCGCCGTCGACTCGGAGTGCGGCAGCCGTCAGCGCTCGATGAGCCCACTACCCCACTACTTCTCCTCTAGTTCACGGCCACTCTCAAGCAACCAAGGACGTCATGAGGGAGGTTATTTTTTGCTTGTTTTTGTAATTTTAATTTGCTTATAACTTTTAAAATAAAGGGAATTTCGAGAAAAGAAAAGTTTCACTAAGTTACTACGTTCAGTGCACTTAGGTTCGGTGCAAATTAAAAATTAGTAAAAAGGTCATTGCAGGGCCCCTTTAAGCCGTTTGTGACGAGTTACGACCAGCTGCATTGTTGCGCATCCAGTCGTGAGCCATACTAAGAGGCTTAAAAGCCGGTCTTGGCTCAGTCGGTCAGAGTCAAACGCGAACGTGTGTACGGGCCTTTAGATTAATATCACGGACACATGCTCGAAATTAGTAACCACTCCGACCATGAAATCCTAAACCTGTGGGCTTTCCAACGCGGCTCGTAAGATAGCTTTTTCGAAGAAAGGCTCTGGCACAATGCTCACACTTGGAGTGTTTTTCCTTCGATTGGGAGTTTTAGCTAGTCATTTCGACACAAACGGTTCGTCCTCGAATGAATCGCCGACGCCACTGCGCATGCGTAGGCGAGTCGTTGGGGCCTTTTGGATGCGCTTAACGTTCGTTTACCCGCTACGGCCGCTGGAGCCGTCACTGCAATGCAGGCGGCAGAGAAAAACTCACCGGAGGAAAGCTCACCACAAAACCGGCGGATGCGGAGAAAAGCTCACCGATTTTTTTTTAATTTGGTCTTAGCTTAGTGGATTGTGTGTCACACGTAGCAATTTAACGCAATTAAAATTCATCAATTTAAAAATAATCATCCACTTTTTTGTAATATTCCTAAAGGTCATTGGGCATATTTACTAATTCCTCAGAAATTAGCAATCACCCAGTCTGTAAATTAATGACGCCGCAAGTATGAAATCAGAACATCGGGCACCCGTAAAAAGACAATTTATTGACAGGTTGACAATGCGTCGTCGGTAGCTCTGTCAGATAAAGAGGTTTGATTTTTGCGAGCTAATATGAATAGTGGTGCGTGAATCGTTTCAGCTCCGAAGATTGTGTGGTGCCTGATAGATGAGTAGGCTTTTATTGATGTAATCAGTGTCCTGTCGTGTTAGTTGTCTTCATTCCGTCTTCATCGTCTGAGCGGTTTTCATTATGTATAACATTTTCCATCTCGCCCTATTCGCTACCTTACAGAAGACTAGTTCTTATCTAGTCCTGAGTAACAACGGTGATAGTGTGCGGCTCTGAAGGTCATGGGTGGCTCGTCATAGAAGGGTACTATCAAACAAAGGCAACGTGTGGAAACACCAGCACGAACGGCTAGAAAACGTGCTTGTCCGTAAACAGAAAGCAACCTCGACATCCCACTCACCGTTTTATCTTGTTTTCAAAGGTTAACAAAAGATTCAAAGAGAACGTCAGGCACCGCATTGTTGCGCATGCACTTTTGGATTTTTGACATTGACAGTTTTGCTTTTTTACGTTTTACGTAGACATTATCAAGTTTTCAAACTTTTTCCTGCTCTTCAAGTTCATAAAGTTTTCAGTTAGGCTTTCGTTGCCTAGACAGTAAACCACAAAAAAAAAAAACACTCGCCCGCAATTATTAAATCGGGGTCATATACCCAATAAGCTTAACAAATATTACAAAAAATAACATTTTCTTTTTTACAAAGTTGACGAATTTTAATGATAATAAATTGATATACGTTACGCATGATCCAGCAGTCTCCACATGAAAAGAAGAAAAAACATTGGTGAGCTTTTTTTTCGCATACACTCAATGGCCGGTGAGCTTTTCTCTGCATCTGCTGGTTTCGTGGTGAGCTTTTCTCCGGGATTCCGGCAATGCAGCCAAGACCGTTTACAACTCGGGAAAGCAAGATGGCGGTCGATTCCTACTGGCCTAGCCGAGTGTTAAGCTCAGCACAGCGGGAGGAGATTTGTCATCCTGCTACGTTTTGCTTCATCTGAGAACTACGATCAAATCATTTCGAAAACCGCTCAAAATGCAAGCGAATAGGACTATGCATAAACTATGCGTGACTAAATTTTTGTGATCCAGGCTAACGAGTCGCCATGGTGACCGTGAGCAGTCGAAATGGTTTGGTTCGGCAGCGTGCGACGTGAACGATCGTTTGAGTTGAAGACGGTAGACACATCCCCTACCTTTGTGGTCAATCGGAAACTTCTTACTCCATTTAGCTTGTCAGCTTTTGACATTCCAACCGGCAAATTTTGCCTCAACCGTCTTGTTTACAACAGTGTGCGGCGTGAAATGCGAGCAACAGATTTGCACGCTGCAGAATGTTTAAGATGCTTGATACGAGAGGGTGCTGCTGGTCAAATGCAATCATCATCATTGTTTAATTGGTTGCACGCGTATCATGATTCGCTAAAACATTAAATTTCACATACGGTTTCACGGAACGGTGAAGCTGCACCGTTCATGATTTCAGAACAGTGCGTTCCTCAAAAAACTCGCTCAAACTCCCGTATGCGTCTGCGTGTGGTCACTGAGGAATCAATACGAGCTAAAGCTTTGAAACATAGCTTGCGCTTCTGATTATTCTTGTCCTGGTGCGTTTGGATGGGATTCGACAAGAGTTCAAGCTGAGTTAATGCTTTGGGGCACTGCTCGCACCTGTATGGCATTTCACCCATGCACTTTTGTGCATAATCAAACTCCTTTTCCAAGTAAAGATGTGGTTCCTCAGACCACCATTTCTATAGAAAGACTATTTGGGGCAATACTTGTACCTGCAGGTTTCATTGTGCATAATCAGACTGCTCTTACAAGCAAAGGCACGAGGACAATGCTCACACTTGTAAGGTTTTTTTACTGTGTGTGTTCGAATGTGGCACCTCAGAGCAGCTCTTGTAACAAAGGCTTTAGGACAATGCTCGCAGCTGTAAGGTTTTTCAGATGCGTGTGTTAGAACGTGGTCTTTCAGAATATCACTTGTAGCAAAAGCTTTAGGACAATGCATGCACTTGTAAGGTTTTTCACCCTTGTGTGTTCGAATGTGATACTTCAGTTTATAGCTTCCATCAAAGGCTCTGGGACACAGCTTGCACTTGAAAGGATTTTCAACAGTGTGTGTTTGAATGTGCTTAGCCAGGGTTCCAAGCCGAATAAAAGTCATAGGGCATAGCTTACACCTGTAAGGGTTTTCATCCCTGTGCAATAGCATGTGGTTGGTAAGATAGGATCTCTGAAGGAAGGTTTTGGCACAATGCTCACACCTGTGGCGTTTTTCACCTCTATGAGTCTGCATATGGTTACTAAGAGTATCGCTCCGAGCAAAGGCTTTAGGGCACAGCTTGCACTTGTAAGGTTTTTCACCAGTGTGTGTGCGAATGTGACTGGTCAGGTGCGCACGGTTAAAAAAGCTCTTAGGGCACAGCTTGCACTTGTAAGGTTTTTCACCCGTGTGTGTGCGAATGTGACTGGTCAGGTGCGCACGGTTAAAAAAGCTCTTAGGGCACAGCTTGCACTTGTAAGGTTTTTCACCAGTGTGTGTGCGAATGTGACTGGTCAGGTGCGCACGGTTAAAAAAGCTCTTAGGGCACAGCTTGCACTTGTAAGGTTTTTCACCCTTGAGCATTCGACGGTGAAACGTTTTGGGACAATGTTTATAGTTATACGGTTTTTCACCTGTGTGCTCTCTGATGTGAACTGTCAAAAATTCAAGCTTTGTGAAGGTTTCGGGGCAAAGCTCACACCTATAGAGTTTTTCAGCCATGTCAACTGGAATGTATACAATATCGGTGAAGGTTTCCGGCGCATCCATGGTGCTGGGACAGTTCAACGACGTACCAGGTCCGTCGATCACAACAGGACTGCTCAATATGGACCCAGATTCCAACAATGAAAAACAATGCTGGCCCTTGGACTGTTCTTCGTCTCCATGAGCCACAAGATGGCTCACAAGTCCACAAGGATCTGTGGTGACATGGGTGCAAAAACAGCATCTGAAGAGAATGTTCTCGGTGGCTTTGAACATGCGGCTGGTCCCTTCCAACGGTGCAGCTCGTTCCCCTAAAAGAAAACCCGTATGCTTATAATTATAAATAACATAGAAAACACAACTAAGATAGTCATTTGGTTCAGAAATGAGCAGCCATATCACTTCTCACAATACTCTGCTTACAGCCCGTGGCTCCCTTTCGTCGCAACCATTGGATTCAGTTCATAGAAACACTAAAACATTTTCCACTAAAGGTAACACCGGCCAATATTTTAGCATTTGGGATTTCGTGTGTTTTCAGCTCAGTCAGCGTCCCTAAATTACAAGGTAGATCTTTTTCATCACCACTATGCAGTTTAGTTTAAATAGCATGGCTCGAAGTTTGGTTACAGGTGTCTATGGCAAAAATGAAACTATCCGAGAGAGATGTCAACATTGGTCATCAAACGCCACGTCAGTGCTGCGGCACATTCGGCGCCGGTGACTGGGAGCCGGCGCAAGGCATGCAGCATGGTTGCATCGCGGGGGGAAAGTTACTGTAGCATCAAGCTAAATCTATGGGTGCCCGTGCACAACTTGGGCACCAATGAAAGCTGTGCACATGCACTCTTCATTTCTAAAATGCCACAAAAGGTTGACCCCGAATATTTACTTCTGGTTCTTGGGGAAATGAAAATCAATAATATACATAAAAGGAGTAAGTTACTGCTCTTCATTTATTGTTGAATCATACGATTGAGTGGCATGAGTTTCAGACGCCTTTATGACTCTTTGCAAGTGGGTGCCGCATGACTGCTTGCAGGTGGGTGTTTGCAGAAGACCCAAAAAACCGACGTTACATTCTAGCCCAGTGTTGCTTGAAAAACAACTAACCTACTGGTTGCCTGCTAAAGTGCAGCTGGTCGCTTCTTTCATATCGGTTTTAGTGGAGTATGTGACTACTTTTATGTAATATTTCTGTTGCGATCATATTTCGTGTCTCCAAGTCGAAACCAGCAATTTATTGCAGGTTAATTTTTTACTTGAGTTGCCCTTTAACTATATCATTACAATATCAGGTTATGGCAAGTTGAACTGCTGGCTATTTCCAAAAAATGCAATCAATTGTTTGTTTGTTTTTTGGTGGAAATTATTCTTGAGTACCAGGGTGCCACTTGGCATGAGAGTCAATACAAATTCCAGTTAAAATGGGTGCAAGTGTCGCTACCAGATTACATTCAAAGATGCTCATTTTTATATGCCTTGTCACTAATGAGAAGATATGCTTAAACACTAGTTCTGCTATGAAACCAGTTTGTTCCTTAGCCACCAAAGGAAACAACTACCAGAGGTTAGTCAATTTGGGCCAGAATTGCAGATTGCTGTGTTGATCAGGCCAGCATAGGTAAAAAATAGCATTGTATTAGGTGGTGATTTGTCACCCAAGCCAGAAGAACATTTGTGTACCGTATGCCTTTTCTAGTTATGATGTTATTAATTTCATGCAAAACAATGACAAATTTTCATGTAAATTTGCAAACTCTACTTGTTCCCATGGTCATAATGAGGACTATGACACCACAGTGAGGCCATTTATTCTGAAAGGTTGCTCCAACCCATTCATAGTGTCCAAACTTATACTTGATTCCTGAGGTGCAATTTGATGTGTAACTTAACATTTGCAAAGTCGTTTGTGCGGCGAAAAACAAAAGGTGGTAGAAGCTGCAGTGCACAATGTCACAGCTGCAAAGTCGTTTAATCAAGCTTTTCTCAATATTGGGACTTTTGCTTTCTGACCTTACATGGTTATACAAATTTGCATCCCAGCTATGTGTACAACTGTACACCACAATGCTGGAAGCATTGTGGAATGCCAAAAAATAACGCCTAAACACTTAAATATTGATTTATTACTCAAAAGTCGTTTTACTGACACAACTATGTACTGAGTCATCACTGAATACTACTTGTCAAAGCAAGTGTATGAGGTCAACAGAATTTCCTACAAATAAAAGTCTGAAACATTCAGCTTTCCAAGTGCTTTCTGGCAAAATCTTTCCTGGTACCTAGACAGCTCATGTTCTTTTCGAACGACATTGGAATACTAAAGCAGGATGGTGATTTGGGCCAGTTGGTAAGAGTTGAACATGATGAAAAACAGCCTCAGAAAAACAGGGACGAAGAACGAGTAAAGACAGGACAACGGCTGACAATACTAAATACAGATTTCTCGAAAAGAAAAGCAGTGCCTCATCTAGAAAAAAAGAGAAGAGTGAGCAAGCAGCCTTAACTCTTTCCTAACCGCAGCGATAGAGCCCCTATCCCCCTGATCGATGGGCGCGGAGGTCCATTTTAAAAATCCCACGGAGCTCTTATGCTTGCTGCATAATGTCGTAGGTAGTTTAAAGACAGTATTGTTTCAGTGTTTTTGTTCCTTTCTCCTCGTGGCAGGGATTTTGAAGCCAAGCGTGACACCGACGGCCAGTCCTCATTTGTTACAGCCATGGCCGCTTTCACAAGTCCGATACGTGCTCACGAGCGTGCCAATTCTCGCAACTCCTCTGTCGATTTTTCGGACTCTGATACCAGCAGTGATCTGACGGTGAAGCCAGATAATTACATTTTAATTCTGATAACCTGAGCTTCATCACATTGAGAAAATGTTTAGCCCAATGGCATGTCAGCCATGAGCGTTGACCTGATGTTTGGTAGACCAAAATCCTTTTCACAAAATTAAAATGTTTTCATTTTTTGTAGGCACTATATATTCATTCATTTTCCCGGATTGGAACATTTTTTTACCAAAATTGTGTCTGACGATTTACATATTGTAATGGGATTCAAGTCTCAACTTTGATGTTTGCATCCTTTAAAAGCCCATTCATTGATATATACGGTATCATATTGTAAACATAAATAGTTTCCTCAGGAAACAATCATAACAAAAAGCCACACAAAACAGGAATTTTCACCGTGGTTACGGAGTTAAGCTGCGCAAGAACCGGGAAGCCGTCAGCATAATTCTCTCTCTAAACCCAGGGAAGAGAACAAATCAGCCAAAAGTGTGATAATGATGATTTTCTACCCAGGGAGAAGTGCCCAGCCTCCAATATCGCAAGGCACAGGAGCAATCTGTTGTGCGTTTCACCAAATCTAGAAAACTAGTCAGGCTGCAGCAACATTTTCATACATGCGATATCTGCCATTTTCAAGGGCCATTTGTCGAAATGTTGGATGAAATGACCATTTGACGAAGCAACTGGTATTCGCTAAAACGTTCTTCCTTGGAGGAATGTTCTCTAATATGACATGGACCAAAGTCGGTTAACAAAAGTGGGCCTAAGAACTTCGGACGATTAAAGATAGGAGAAGAACATGAATATAGCTGCCCTTTGAACATGAGGCTTTCAGAATAGACTTTTGTGTGCAACCAATATGTGGATGGGAGAGCACCACGAAAAGCTACCAAGCAGCTCCAGATATAATCCCTGCACCCCAAACCAACTTGCATCGCTCCCATGCTCCAACAACCCCTGGGCACTATCATCCTTAGGGTTACATTCATATTGGGTACAATCGCAAGTCCAATTGCATAGCCAATAGGCTAAAAAAGCTAAGGCTACTTACTGTCTGCTCCTATAAACCAAAAGTCTGCGCAGAAAAACACTCAATGCTAAATGACACCCTATATCACCGTGTCTTGTGGTCTCGGACGTGTGCACCGTCTGTTACGTTGCATGTTTCAGGCCCCAGCGAAGAAAAAGCTGTCTGTTTTCTACCCTAATCCCTTCTTGTCCTCCTTCATCGTTGGCTCGACATAGTAGCGTACAAAGTGCCACTTTTGGGAAACCTTACAGGGCTTGCCCAAATTCGGGTGCCTTGAACTAGGATGAACTGGTAGCCATTTCAGTTCATTTCACTACTTGATTGGGTAGGCTCCATCATTCTGGATTCAATGGCCATAAGCCAACCTGGGGTTGGCTGATGGCTGTGTTCCACTCATCTGTCCCACATCAAGCGAAGAAGCTGTGTTTCACTCATCTGCCCTAAATCTGGCTGAACATGAGGGCGAGGTAATTTTCAATGAACAGCATTGCTTTCTAACTGCTAAAATCATGCTACATTTGGCGAATTCATAGCAAAACAAGTAACAAATCTTTCAGATTATGCTCGGAGAGCCTAAGATTTAGTAAATTAACATCTTCCCGAAAACAAACTTTGCAGAATTTCTCTTCATCCACGAGAAAGTGTCAAGACGAGTTATCTCACCATCGGCAGTTGTGGCGAAAAGGCGTTCTGGTTTTCATCGGCTATTAAAGGACACATGCAAAGGAAAAAAAATTTTTTTTTAGACAGCTTAGATGGAAAAAGGATGTCATAAAACGATTTTACAACGAAGAAACAAAATTTTTAGGGCGCTCGCGGGAGCCGCCGCTGGTCACGTGGTAGGCCCGCGCGCCGCCGCGCTGCGTCGCCGCCGCACGCTGAGCGTTGTGCGAACGCCGCTTCAACGCGTTTCTCCACGCCGCCGTCGCCGCCGCCGCACAAGTTCGTCTGCTTCGGGGCGCCGCCGCCGTCGTCTGACCGGCGCACAGGTTTGCGCTTTTTAGGAGTTTCCTTTGGGCTCTAAAAGTTACTTATTCGTCTTCGTTTTTTGTTATACTTCAAACAAAGATGAATAAGTTACTTTTAGAGGCCATAGGAAGCTTCCGAAAGAGCGCAAGCTCCACGTGATAAATAAAGACCAGTCACGTGATAAATACAGACCACTTTTCCGCGGTGCCCGCGGGCGCCAACTACAAATTCTATTTGCGCCGTAAATATAGCTCTAAAAAATTTTTTCTTCGTTGTAAAATCGCTTTATGGCGTCCTTTTTCCATCTAAGCCGTTTAAAAAAAATGTTTTTTTTTTCCTTTGCATGTGTCCTTTAAGAACAGAGTTATTACAATAAACGTTGGAGGCTCAGCTGGCGCTAGTGTCTACGGGACTTCCGGTGCTTCCGGTTGCAAATTGAAGCAAACAGCATGCAGTCTACATTTTCAGCCTCCCTGTGTATTCCTATGGGAAAACGGAAAATAACATGAATAACTTT